GGCCTTATCTTGCCTCCCTGGCTGCTAACTTGCCCCACAATGTACTTCAGCCTCCAAGACTCTTCCCCAGAGGGTGTAGTGTTGGGATGGCACACACCCAGGCGCAGCATGGTCTCGTTGATCTTGCTGGCTGCCTTCTCGCTCAGCAGCCCAGGGTGGTTGCTCTTGATGGAGAATAGGGTCATGACTCCTGAACAGAAGGGAGATGGCAGACGTTAGTGGAGGCCAGGCCACTCTCCTGGGAGGAATAGGTGCATGGCAGGGGAGGGCCCCATGGTCCTAGAGTCCCACGTCTGATGACTTCTGGGCTGATTTAAAGCTTGGGGAACTGGAGACACGGGAGCACAGCTGGTGGCAGATGTGCCATGGGCTGGAAAGACTTGGGCAGGGCACAGACGGTCAGTGGAGACGAAAGATGCCTCAGTCCTGGTCCGGCCTCCCCAAGTAAGGCAGCAGGTCAAAGCTATTATGATGGAAAAGGCCTAAGAAGAGACTCCAGGACAGTGCTGTCCAAGAGAAATATAATGTGAGCCACATTCACAATCTCAAATGTCCTAGAAGCCACCTTCAAAAAGTAAAGGGACACAAATGAAGCTAACTTCAATATATTTTATAAACAATAAATCATTGTTTATGACATTATCATTTCAACATGTAATCCCTATAACAAATTGTTCATGAGATAGTTTACTTCTGTATGTGCTGAGTCTTTGCAGTGCAGTGTGTATTTTATACTTATGACACATCTCAGCCTGGATTAGTTTCAACGCACGTGGCTAGTGGCTCACACTAGCCACACAGGATCACACAGATACAAAATATAAATCAGAGGCTCAGCCACTGCCAAAGAGAGGGAAACGAGGTGGGCTGAACAGAAGACTGATAGCGCTGGGGGAGGAAACTGAAGTTTACAAAGAACACTCAACGAAAATGAGCTAAGATACGGAGGCTCAGTGTGGAGGTGGCAGACTGAGACAGGGAAATGAGGAAACAGAGAATCTGTGCATGTTGTGAAAACTGTGTGTGTGTGTGCGTGCACACTCGCACTACGAGCAGAAAGGAGAAATGAAGCTCCAAAGACCAAGCATGTATATAAATTCAGGGCGCACGCACATGACTGAAGGCTCCCAGTTGGCCCATGCGGACAGGGTGGTTACTCAGGGTGTTCACCACACAAGGGCATCTGGCCAGGGCTGACCAGGGGCTGGAATCCAGCCCAAGCTCCACTCAACAAGCCATGAGCCCTGGCACAAAGCTGGAGTAAGGGGAGCATTTTTATGACCCGCACAAAGGTGCTGCCTGCACCACGGCCTGCCCATGGGCACCTTCCCCTTTGCACCAAGGTCCTGCATGAGGCGGCTGAGGTCCCACCTCGAAGGCAGCAGAGCTGGCAGCTCCTGGCTCCTACTTACACAGAGCAGATGCTCGGCACATCTTGCTGCCCGACCAGTCCTGACCCGGTCCTCACTCACCTCGGATGAGGAAGTAACCTCCCACAATGAGCACCAGGCCGATTGGGGCCAGCACGAAGCCAGCACGGTATCGGTAGTTCTTATAGCCCACAAAACAAATGCCGCTCACAGAGTCCCCATCCACCTAGAGCAGGAAGGGGTGGGGGGACAGAGTCAGTCACTGTCTCCCTCACCCAAGTCCGCCCCACTCAGATCCCCACCCCCTACCAGTCACTATACCTGGGCCACGGCGAGGATTGCCACAGTGAGGACAAAGGGGAGCGACCAGGTGAGGAGGTGGAAGTAGGAGGTCTTGCCCGAGAGAGGCTGGTAGGTGGTCCCCAGGGCTTTGAAGGAGGTGTGCCAGGCATAGGTGAGGACCACAAACCAGACAACGCCGGCCATCAGGGCATAGTACACGATGACGAAGATGATGACGCAGGACAGGGTCTCGTTGGAGCTGCACAGACATGTGGAGCGTCATTTGGGGCAGTCGTTCTGTACTCCCTCTACGAAGTCTCTCCACCCTGTCCCCAGTCCCCTGGCTTCTAAGGTCTGGAGGTTCCCTAGCAGTCAGGGCTTGGAGACCAGGCTCAGGTCAGAAGTGAAGAGGATACAGAAGATGCCCCTTTGAACAGATGCAAACAGTCCAGGCTCTAATGCTGGAGACCTTGGGTGCAGCAAGGCAAAGCGGATCCCACGCTGAACTCTCCGTTTCAAGGCCTACCTGCCCCTTTTGTGGAAAACGCACATCAGCCTCTTCCCCTCACCCTCACCTCTGGGTCCGCAAGACACCTACGTGGGCTCCCCAAGCCTCATGGTGCCATCAGCACGGCAGACGATCTCCCGGCGGGCACCGTCCATGAACTGGGCCAGCCAGCCAATGCTGCCCACGAAGAAACACGCGTTGACGTAGAAGAGAATGACAGCAGGGTAACGATTGGAATTCCGCCAGTCAGCCACAAATGTGGCCTAGAAGAGAGAAGTGGGGCCCATTCTGTGAGGTCAGGGTTATTCTGCTGCCCTTATCTGAACCTCCGGACCCCTCTTATCGCCACCCTTCCCCAAGGACCCCTGCCAAGTCCTCCTCCCCGCTCTCCCAGAGCCCAGCCTCTCTCAATGACAATCGGCTCCCTTCCTACTTTACAGGCTGCCGGAGGGTCCTGGGCCCTGCCGCCCCCCTGACCCTCCACCCACGGGCCTGCCTCCCGCTGACCAGGGTGAAGAGAGTGCAGAGGCCCGTGACGGCCCCGAAGGCCGCGATGTAGCTGTGCATGTCCTGGTGCTCGGCCTCGGTGAAGAGTGGGTTCTGGCACTGGATCCCACAGCCCTCCACGTCCTCATACCAACTCTTGGGGTTGTCAGTCCGAACCAAGGGAGCCTCACATTGGCCCGAACTGTTGAACTTGATGTTCTGCACCTCATTCTGGCAATGAGAGAAGAGGAGAAAGCGCACAGGGGAGCGGTAGGCTCGGGTGACCTTTGGTTTAATAAGAGGCGTGAAGGTAGCGTGGCAGAGAGGCCAAGAGCACAGGCTCCGCAGACAACCTTCCAGCATTTGAGTCCTAGCCTTGCCCCTCATGACTGCACAGCCTGGGGCAAATTATTTGACCTCTCTGTTAGCTCAGTTTCCTGATCTATAGGACAGCAATACTTACTTCATGGTGTGGTCTAAGGGTTAAGTGAATAAATAAATGTAAGATGTTTATAATAGTATTTGGAAGGTAATAAATAATAATAATTAGTATTACTACCATCATCATCATTATTATTAATGTGCTGTCCTTCATCACCCAGAACTAGATCACACCCCCGTCTTGGTGTCTCTTAGCTGTTTTACACGTGCAAGCCTTGACTCCCTAAATACACAATAAACTTCCTGAGCACAGGTTTGTCATTCACAACTCCTGTAACTCCCCATCACCTAACAGAGTGGGTGCTCAAAAATCTTTTTATAAATAGATAATCCCTAATAGACTGGTTCAGCTTGGCGAGCTTCAGTTTGGGCCTGTGGCTCACTGACGCCACGGCTGTAGACTTGGGATCTCCCAGAAGAGAAGGCGCTGAGCTCCTCTGCCCCTGCTGGGCCCTGTCCCGTGCCTGGTCCTGCCCAGCCCAGACCCTGCCCCACAAAGCACTTACCGGGCAGCCCTCGGGGAAGTGGTCAGGGGTGCAGCGCAGAAAGTCGGGCCAGCCCCGCTCCCTCTCCACGATGGCACAGGGGCCACGGGTGGCCTGGCAGAGGGTGCGGCTGGGCAGTTCCACCCGGTTGTTCTCACACTTTGGCATGTACACAGCACACAGCAGGGGCTGGATCACTGCCCAGCAGCGGGGGGCGTTCCGGAGGCCTGGGGGTAGCGACAGTGTGGACACATTGCAGTGAAGACCCCTCAGCACTCTGACCCACAGACAGACATAGCTGCACCGCTGTCCCCCCGGTCTAAGGCATCTATCTCTCTTTGCCACGCTGCAGGCCATGACTGCTCAGGATGGTGAGGCACGACGTTTCTCAGCAGGGCATTTAGGCCTGACCGTTCTTTGCGCTGCAGGAGTGTCCCAGGTACCGCAGGACATTTGGCATCCCTAGACCCTGCCCACTAAATGCCAAGAGACCCCCTAAGTCCTGGTGACAGCCAAAAATGCTCCTCACCCCTCCCACTCCAGGGTGGGGATTGGAAGAGGCCTGAAAAGGAACATCTGGGACACTGGTGATGTTCTATTTCTTGATCTGGTTCTGGTTTCATGGGTGATTTACTTTGTGAAAATCAAACTGTGCACTTTTCTCTGTGTATATTACAATTCAATTAAAGTTCTTAAGAAACAGCCCCCATTTCCAAATGCCCCGCTAACGGAGTGTTAGCACCTCTGGCTAAGAACCCCAGGTCAATTTACCTTTTACTTTTTCAGGGACATTGTTAAAACCTTCTACAGTCCACAGGGAAGGAGTGTTGTGGGACCCACCCTCACAGGGCCCGTTCACCAGAACCAGAAGGTGCTTCCCCTTGCCCAGACCCCAGGACCCTTGTTCCTCTTACCAAGCTGAGGTGAGACAGAGAACAGGTTGGAGCTTAAGAAGAGGTAGTCAGGGGAGCCAGGTACTCCGAAGCCAGAGGAGGAAACAGGAAATCAGATGGAGAGAAACAGAGGAGGCTGTGTCCAGTGCACGGGGAGGAAAGGTGTTGTCAGCCAGAAAGAAACAGATGGAGGTCTCCCAGCACCCCTACCCCAGTCCAGGCCTCTACCCTGCTCTCCCTGTGGCTGGGCTCACTCAGAATTCTACCCCCTTCGCCCCTCCTGAATCACCCCTGCTTCAGGAACACCTATTTCCCAAACAAGAAGTTGTATTAGGAGAAGCTTCTGAGGATGTGAGAGCCAACGTGGGTGACTGCCCAGGCTGGGGGTGGTGTGAGCAGGTAACTACTCTTTTTGGGAGGAAGGTAATATAGCAGAGGGATAAGGAGCATGGACACTGCAATTAGCCTGCCTGGGTCCAATTCGTGGCTCTATCATTTCCTGGCTGTGTGATCTTAGACAAATTACTTTATCTCTAGCCTCAGTTTCCTCATCTGTAAAATGGAGATAATATTGAATAGACTTACCTTGTGGGACTGTGGTGTAGAGTGAGGTAATGCATCAAATGTGCTTAGCCCAGTTCCTGTCATGTACTAAGCACTCAAGAGGTATTAGCTGTTACTATTCGTAATCTGAGGCCTCTGACCATTCACAGCTCTCACCCGACAAAGCCTATTCCAAGGGTGCAGAGCAAGTTCCTGTCACTTAAGAAGCAATGTCCTTGGGCAACAGTTCTCAGACCTGACTCAAATCCGAATCACCTGGGGGACCTTTGTCACTCTAGATGGAGAACCCAGTCTCAAAGATTTTGGCTGAGAGGGTGTGGGTGGAGGACACAGCAGTGGTTGCCAGGACCTAGGGTAGGAGAGGGCTCTGCCTACTAAGGGGCAACACGAGGGAACATTTGGGGGTGATGGGACTGTTCTCTATCTTGTATGTAGTGGCTGCATCCAGAACTCTATGCGTTTGTCTAAACTCATAGAACTGTGACAACAAAGAAAAAGTGAATTTTACTGGATGTTTATTAAGCAATATATTTTAAATGCGGACGGGCTCCCTACAGTAATAGGTATTTTAGAGGAGCAACAGGTAGATGCTTAATAAAAATACTGTGGGGGCTTCCCTGACGGTCCAGTGGTTAAGAATCCGCCTGCCAATGCAGGGGACACGGGTTCCACCCCTGGTCCTGGAAGATCCCACATGCCATGGGGCCACTAAGCCTGTGCGCCACAACTACTCAGCCTGTGCTCTAGAGCCTGTGAGCCACAACTACTGAGACCACGTACAACTGCTGAAGCCCACATGCCTAGAGCCCATCCTCCACAACAAGAGAAGCCACTGCAATGAGAAGCCCGCGCACCGCAACAAAGAGTAGGCCCCGCTCGCTGCAACTAGAGAAAGTCCACATGCAGCAGTGAAGACCCAGCACAGCCAAAAATAAATAAACAAATAAATAAATACATTTATTTTTTTTTAAAAAAGAATCCACCTTCCAATGCAGAGGACACAGGTTTGATCCCTGATCGGGGAACTAAGATCCCACATGCCGCGGGGCAACTAAGCCCGAGCGCCTCAACTAGAGATCCCGCATGCTGCAAACTACAGAGCCCACGTGCTCTGGAGCCCGTGAGCCACAACTAAAGAGAAGCCTCCGCGCCACAACGAAGATCCTGAGTGCTGCAACTAAGACCCAACACGGCCAAAAATAAAATAAAATAAATTAATTTAAAAATAAATATTTTTTTTAAATATTGTGGAATATGGGCTGGCCTTAGTGACTTGCTCGACCAATAAAATGTGGTGGAAGTGATGTTCTCAGACTCTCAAGCCTGAGGATAATAATAAGAAGCCATTTGGCTTTTGCCTGGGTCTCTCTTGGAACACTTGTTCTTGGATCCCAGTTGCCATGAAATAAGATCAACTATCCCGAGGCTGTCCTGCTGGAGAGGCCTGGTGGAGAGACCACATAGAGAGGCCCTGGGACCAAAAGAAGAAAGAGAAAGAAATGTTGGGTTTTTCAAGTTCCCAGCTTTTCCAGTTATCCCAGTGAAAGCCAAGCCATCCCTGCTGAGTGCTGTCCAGACTGCAGATTCATGAGGAAAAGGAATGGTTCTTGTTTTAAGCCACCAAGATTTGAAGTGGTCTGTAATATAGCAATAAATAACCAGAACACACACACACACTCACAATATAAATAAATAAATATAAATATAAATATATATATAAATATAAATATAAACAATATTGTGTTATTTTTCTGGAATTTGTGATAATTATCAGCTTTTTAAACGTGTAATTTGTTTTTCTTTTTATCTCATTTTAAATATTGTTTTGTAGTTTAAAAATAAATTACCCAAGGAAAAAATAGATTATTAAATAAATATTAAAAGACAATTGAGGAGGCATCGAGGGAAAAAATAAGTTGAATCCTTACCCCATTTCTTTTTTTTTTTTTTTTTTTGCGGTACGCGGGCCTCTCACCAATGTGGCCTCTCCCGCCGCAGAGCACAGGCTCCGGACGCGCAGGCTCAGCAGCCATGGCTCACGGGCCCAGCCGCTCCGCGGCATGTGGGATCTTCCCAGACCGGGGCACGAACCCGTGTCCCCTGCATCAGCAGGCGGACTCTCAACCACTGTGCCACCAGGGAAGCCCATTACCCCATTTCTTACGTAAAAATACATTCCAGATGAATCAAAAATAACTACATTATTTTTAGAAATCAGAGTACTAGAAGAAAAAGTGGAAAATGTTGTTTTAAATCTCTGAACGGAGAATGCATTTTGAAGTATGACACAAAACTCAGAAGTTTTGAAATAAAAGATTTAAAGAAAAGACTTCAGAAAAATAGAAAAATTCAGTAGGGTAAGAAACAAACAAGATCATAAGAAAAGCAACACACTGAGAAAATATATTTCCAATACGTATCACAGGTAAAGAATTACTTTCCTTGCATGCATAAAGCTCTTCCAAATCAATAAGAAATTCATAATCCTATAGAAAAATGGGCAAAAGACAAACAAGAGAAAATACAAATGGCCTTTAAAAACATAAAGAGATGTTCAGTCTCACTCATTAACTGTGAAATAAAACTACGATGACATATAACTTTTTAACCTTTAGAAGGATAAAGATCAAAACATTTGAAAATGCTGTACTGGCAAGTGTCGGGGGGAAACTGGCACTTTTGTATATTTTTAGTAGGACTAAAAATTAGTTAACATTTGTGGAGACTATTTGACATTAGCTGTAAAATGTTACACTAGCAATTCCACTTCACACGTTCACAAAAATCGTATATAAGATTATTCACTGCAGTACTGTTTGTAATAACAAAAGTAGAAACGTCCTTAATATTTATCCATCAATAGTAGACCCACTAAATAAAATATCACACATCAATATAATAGCACACTATCCAGGGTTGAACTATTTGCAATGAAATGGAACAATCTCCAATATGTCTTGTTTAATGGGTGCAGCTGAGTGGAGAACAGCCTGGAGAGCTGCTACTGGTTATGGGAGGAAAAAAGAATAAGGACACATCTACATTTGTATGTTAGATATCAATAAAAGAATATACACAGGGGCTTCCCTGGTGGCACAGTGGTTGAGAGTCCGCCTGCCGATGCAGGGGACACGGGTTCCTGCCCCGGTCCGGGAAGATCCCATATGCTGCGGAGCGGCTGGGCCCGTGAGCCATGGCCGCTGAGCCTATGTATCCGGAGGCTGTGCTCCGCAACGGGAGAGGCCACAACAGTGAGAGGCCCGCGTACCACACACAAAAAAAGAATACACACAAACCAGTGTTGTGGTTGCCTGTGGGAAGGGAAATGGGTAGCTAGAAACAGAAGTGGAAGGATTTAACTTTTGCTACTTTCGAATTTTGTACTATGTTCGTATACTACCTATTTTATTAAAGTAATTAAGCTTAAAAAATAAATATGCAAGTTACTGGGATGCAGGAAGCTCCCCAGCGAAGAAAAGGGAATGAAACTGGAAACAAGAAGAAAGGGGACATCAGCTTTATCTGTTTTGTTTTCTTTCTTTTTCTTTTTCTGTCTTTTTTTTTTTTGTTTTGGCTCAAGTCTTAACCACTGGACCGCCAGGGATTTCCCTTGTTTTATTTCTTTAATAAAATATGAAACAAAAAATACAGACACAGGTGTTATATTAGTCTCTGTATTTTTCTACATTTATACACTTTAAAAATAACATTTGCCACAATTTAAACTTTAAAAACGAATTTTTTTATGTGTGATTCCGATGATCAGTCAA